TGTCCTGTTCTGTCCTGTCCTGTTCGGCTCCGTACTCTGTGCTCCATATTGTACTTAATTTTTTCACCGACGCCGGCTCTGAAGTGCCTTTTTCAATTTCCCCAGAGGCGCTTCCGATCAAACAGGAAGTGCTTAAGTTCAAACTGAAGTAAAAGTGCGCTCGGAACCACCCCTCGAGTCCCGCCACTTCGTCTATCAGGGAGCAACAGTCAGTCAGGAACTCCGGCAAGGAGCCATCATCAAAGGTTGCGTTGTGTGGAATCTGGAGAGCGCTACAAAGGAATCAATACTTAAAATAACTTTAAACCTGGTTTTCCTGATTTGGCTTTTAATAAATTATGGATATACTATTCTTAGACTTTTATTTCTTTCCTCTTAATTAAATATTTGATATGGGATTTTATCGGGCTTGGAATAGTTCTTAGACATTTACTAATATTAATCAGATTTTTTAGATGTGAAATGTTTGTTTATTTTGAAAAACTGATTTCGAAAACAGGATAAAGACGTATTTTACATGGAATTGAATTTATATGAAAAGGATGTTGATGCTTCTTATTACTCAAATCGTATCGTTTCCTTCTTTTGGAAATATATTATTTTAAACCTTTTGTAGAGACTTAAATCCCCGGTCCCCACACTTAAACTTCTCGAATACCCTACGCACCCCTCCCCTTTTCCACCTGTAACTTCATTACGTGGGCGTGTGCGATGCGCCATAAGGTATGTTATATGAGCACAAAGGACATACTGCGCTGGGGGTTGAAGAACATCATATTTCATGTGGCTAATAAACATAGCGCCGGAGTCCGCAATGCGGGAGTCGCCGAGTGAACTGCATAAATTTATTAATGAGTGGGAAATGAGGTATTCTGTCTGCGGGGGAGGACCGCCGAGGTGGGTGGCTTAGCTCAAGGCCACGGGACTGACAACTAAGCCGATGCCGACGGCAGGGACCAGGAGCTTGCGGAAAACAATAAGCCGGGAATTTCGGGGCACCGCCACCAGGATACTTGGGTAGGCTGATTTACGTACCAGCCAGAAGTTGTGCGGGCTCAACATCAACCAGCAGGGCAAATTGAAAGCACACGAAGGCAGCGGCAATTTTTCCTTCCACCGCTGGGGTGAAAGCTAACCAACTCCTGTGATTGATAAATATTTAAAGCGCAGCAACAAAGCGAAATAATTGAAATAAGTGAAGGAGGGTTGCGACTTTTCGCCGGGGGTTGCTGCCTGGCCATGCCCTGCCAATTGTGACAACAACAAGCCAGGATGCTTGTTAACCTCGCCACGCCCGGAGTCTGGGACTCCAGGAGAAAGCCCTTTCTCCCGGAGCTGCTGCACCTTCATTCAATCTAATTCCGCTTCTTATCACTGGAGCTTAGCTGCTCTAAAATGCGAATGACATGCCAAAGTACTCGAGATTCAGCAGATTGTCGCGACGCCCCAAACACAGAGGACTTTGGATGCCACGAGCAGCAGCTTCACGGAGATTGGAGACTGGGAGTGGGGAGCGGGGAGTGGTAAGCGGGGAAGGACTCAGGACACGACGGATGGCGGAGCACTCAATGAGCATGCTTCACTGCAGGCTTTGTTTGCCGGATGAGCAGCTGCCGGCTCGATTGTTGGTGCTGGTGTCACCTTCATTACGCTTAAACGGCTCTTAGCTTTCCATCAATATAAATATTTTCAGTCGTATTTCTTATTTTATTGTGCTTATGAATGCAATTGTTACGCGAAGAATCGCAAATTCTAACAAAAAAAAAATAATTTTTGAAAAGGTCAACTATCAAATTATTTTAGTACATAAAAAAATATTCAAAGCCAATACATGTACATTTGTACACTGGTAAAGCGATAAGAAGACTTAACAAATTTTAATAAAAAGCCGAATTTTATATACACTTATGTATATTTCGATTCCAAAAACCAGTTAAGCTAGATCGATTTCCCAATAAATTTTTTAAACGTTCCCAGTGCAGCTATTTGATATAAAAATTAATCAACGTTAAAATGTAAAATTTTAACGCAGATTTTTTAAGAGTCAATCCACAAGTCGAATGAGGTATGCCACTTTGAAATCGGATTAAATTTGGTAAAGTTATGGAGTCTGGAAGTCCAATTGAGGGTCATCTCATTACAAGTCATCGCAAACTTAAAAAAACTAACATGAAAATGGGTCAAAAATTTGATCATCGTTAAAATGAAAATTTTGAATGCAGATTTTTAGATAATGAAACCACAAGTCTTTAGAGGTATGCCACTTTGAAATCGGATTAAATTTGGTAAAGTTATGGAGTCTGGAAGTCCAGCTGGGGGTCACCTCATTTAAATTATTGGAAACTTGGAAAAAACTAACATGAAAATGGGTCAAAAATTTGATCAACGTTAAAATGAAAATTTTGAATGCAGATTTTTAGATAATGAAACCACAAGTCTTTAGAGGTATGCCACTTTGAAATCGGATTAAATTTGGTAAAGTTATGGAGTCTGGAAGTCCAATTGTGGTCACCTCATTACAAGTCATCGGAAACTTGGAAAAAACTAACATGAAAATGGGTAAAAAATTTGATCATCGTTAAAATGAAAATTTTGAATGCAGATTTTTAGATAATGAAACCACAAGTCTTTAGAGGTATGACACTTTAAAATCGGATTAAATTTGGTAAAGTTATGGAGTCTGGAAGTCCAATTGTGGTCACCTCATTACAAGTCATCGGAAACTTGGAAAAAACTAACATGAAAATGGGTCAAAAATTTGATCATCGTTAAAATGAAAATTTTGAATGCAGATTTTTAGAGAATGAAACCACAAGTCTTTAGAGGTATGCCACTTTGAAATCGGATTAAATTTGGTAAAGTTATGGAGTCTGGAAGTCCAATTGGGGTTCACCTCATAACAAGTCATCGGAAAATTGGAAAAAAACTAACATGAAAATTGGTCAAAAGTTTGATCATCGTTAAAATGAAAATTTTGAATGCAGATTTTTAGAGAATGAAACCACAAGTCATTAGAGGTATGCCACTTTGAAATCGGATAAAATTTGGTGAAGTTATTGACTCTTATGTGCCCTTGTGGGTCACTTTTTTACATGTCATCGTATAGTAGCACAAACGGGGTTTAATATTAATTACACTTTATTTAGACTTGACCGTTCTCTCTTAGTTCTTATGCGCAATTGCTTTAATTTACATGGCGTCGGTTTTAACATTAGACAACGCGAAGTTGGCTGCGATCAGCACCGATAGTTAACATTTCAGAGTTGCCAGACTGGCAACTATATAAAAGCTAATTATTCTAAGTACTAACGATTATTAACCATCTAAACGTAATATTTAAATAATAGAGTTATACCACTAAAACATATTCATAACTGTGTATACTCGTACATACTAATATATATAGTCAGTGACTTATCCTACTACAATCGGGAAGCTTAAAAAAAATGACATGGAATGACATGGTCAAAATTTTGATCAACGTTAAAATGAAGAATTTGAATACAGATTTTTTTAGAATCAATCCACAAGTCTGAAGAGATATGTCACGTTGAAATCGGATTAAATTTGGTGAAGTTATGTTATTTAGAAGTCCAAATGTGGGTAACTTTGATGATTTTGTTAAAATATTTTACTTGTAAAAGAAGTCAATGCTATAGAGAGTAGAAATGGAAAAAGATTTAAATAAAGCTTTACCCAGAATTAACCTTTTCATTCATTCCCATTTTAAAGGGTACTTCAATAGCATCCTTCAGCCACCTTTTTACATCTTTCGTCCTGGTTTTTTTGGTCCTTTTACTTGGCTTGCTGCGTAGCTCTGGCTTTGTTTGACTGACGTCTGTCTGTGCCCACATAATGTCGCCATTCGGGCAGACATTGTTTGATTTGAATTCATTGTCGTGTAATTTGTGCAGCACGTCCTTCTTTTTCCCCAGCGAACTCCGTCTTTTTCGCGCTCCTTACTCGGAGCATTTCGTGTCGCTAATTACACTGTAATTAAAATTGCTGTATTTACAGGCAAACACACACTGGCCCCGTGTGAGTGCGTGCAAATATTTTTAAAAAATACATATCACATGTACATTGCGCATACGCCGCGTGCACCGCTCGCTCTTGCATGAGCTTTGTAAATTAAGCGTGAAGCGGGCTCCAGTCCGCTTTATAGTCTCCCCTTTTTTTGGAGGGGCGTGGCCGGCATTTAACACATTTCGCCCACGTCGATAACAAGCTGCCACTGTTTGGGCAGCCATTAGGCGACCGGGGCCACCTCGATTCCTTTTTTTTTTCGCCCATTTGGAATGCGAGTGCGCCATTTTAATTGCTTTTCGCCGGCCGTCATGCATGCTGGGGCCAAAAATAGTCGCCTAAGAGTGCTTTTGCGTGTAGCTATTTCCAACTTAATTAATAGCAAACACACGGCCCCGCAAAATGCAACGAAAGCAGGGCCGCCAGGAAACAAATGCAGGTGGCAAACGGATTGGGATTGGGATTGGAATAGGGCTTGGAATTGGTAATACATATAGTACGTACAACTTTTAGTTTTCAGCCCCAGCACTTGATTTATGCGGCCATCCGTAGTTTATGCATAATGCAGCTCGTAATTAGTGAGGCAAATGTACGAAAACATATAGTGCCAGGGCTCAAGCTTGGGGGCTTAGTCCTCGGAATCGGAGCCAGGACATCTAATATTTATTATCAGTAAATTACAATTGTCTTTTACATGCATGCGATTAATTCCATTGCTGCTGGTCATAAATATTTATTTACAACTCTTCCGAAAAACCTGTCAGGGCCACTGGCGTTTGTTTGCCGGGCATTTTGGCTTTTGTCCTTCCATCTTTGTCTTCGGCTTATGGCTTTCAGATATGTCCTGGATTTTTCAATGACATTTGCAGTTTTAATTAAACAACAAATAATAATTTTTAGGACCAACTAAGCCCCCAGCCAATCGATCTGCCCTCTTTACCCGGCAAGTGAAATATGTGTGCTCCGATTCAGAGTTCATTTTTCAGCAAAAATGCATCAAACATATAGATTTAATTACTTTCGACTCGGACAAACAAAGATTGCCGGAGGTGCCAGAATCAGGAACAAATTAACTTTATTGCTTCTGGTTTCTGTTGGGAGTGCATATATATATATATATGGCAGTGTCCTGCCCGCTAATGAAGTGAAATTATCTACTTACTCCGGCGTCGTAGTCCCTGGTATCCTCACCTTCAGCAGGTGTGCATGGAGCGATAATGATTGTAATTAATTTAATTTCGTTATATTTTCATCTAGACACAGCGAGTGGCGATCCTCCGCAATGCGCTAAATGCTTTCTGTTTTCAGTTTTCTGTGACTTTTGCCAGCGTCCCCTGCTGTTTACTGCGTTTTTCCGCTGTTACTCGAATTTCTATGCCGAAAGAAAAACTTTTAATTTTCTGGTTATTTACGGTCTTAATTTTAAATTTCATGGATCTCAACTTTACAATTGCATTTCTCAGTAAAAAACTTTAGCTTCTGAATTTAAACAAACCATAAGGATTTTATATTTCGCAACTTGCTTTCAGAATCTAAGAAAATAATATTTATTATTATCCAATAGAATTTTATCTGATTTAAGTGAAAAGATTAAAATTCCATTTTAAATTGTTATAGAGCTTAAATCATGTGTTTAAGCATATTAAATTCTTGGATAAAAATTAATACAAAATCTTAAAAACCCCCTCGTTTTTTGTGTCCTTTTCTTTCTCTGCACTTTATTCCTTTCGCCTCATTACGTTTCGTGTCTTGGTTGTTTTTGTTTTTTAAGGCATGCTTCATTTGCAGTTACTGTGCCACTGGGCTTTAGCAAAATCAGTTAACTCCCTTTTGCTAATTACTAAAGTTTTATTTCGGTGGTCCACCACCCCGCTACCTGCAAAACTGGGGACCCAATAATCTTGATGTTCGTGCTGGGAACGTATGCTCCATGTGCGGAGGGTTAATTAAAAGCCGTAAAACTTTCAGTATTTCAGACGGTGATTGCATTGCACACTGTTCTGGGGAAACAGGCTCGTTTTGCAGCCCCAGCTGTCCGCCACTTTGACAGTTGCAGTTCAAATGTCAAGTGCACTCCGCTGCAGATACAAAGGATACCCGGGGAGTGGAAGGGCCTTGTGATTGACAACAGGAGCATGTAAACGAAACTCCATCTTGAGTGCGCCGCAAGGACAGCACTTTCCTCATCGATGGTCGATGAAGTGCAGCTCTGCAGCTCCGCACTCTGAACTGCGCACTCTGCACTCCCATTCTCCATGCTGCATGCTCCGGTTGCCAAAAGGTAAATATTTTTGCCTCGGTTATTACATTTTCGAGCACCACTAGCTCGTCGTTTTGTTCCCCTTGCCACCCCTTCCAGATTCAGAATCAATCAAGTGTTCAAATTTTAATCAGTTGCCCGTTCAAGTACTTCCATCAACTCTTAAAGTTTGATGCCACAAGGAGGGAGCACCCTTTGTCCGCCAGTTCCGAACGGATGCCCCCGGGCCACTATCACTGGCCGGGTCGTCGGGAAACCGCAAATTGCAAGTTGCCTTGGCCAAGGATACGCCGCTCCAAGTGCTGGCGAATTTTGATGTTTTTGCCAGATTGATGAACATACCCAAAAACAAGGCTTCGAGTGGCACAAGCAGGAACAGGAGTTGGTGGGGTAGAGGCAGGGGGCAAGGACAAGCCACAAGGCGTCGCTGGAGGAAAACAGAACCCTGCTCCGTTGTTGCTTCATTTTGTGCCCCCTGTTGAAAAACAAATAACAATAATTATCTTGACAACAATTTCCGGTATTTGTGCTCAAGTCGAGCGCAACAAAAGGCAAAATGAAACTCAACTCAACTTCAGAGACGTGCCAAAGGATCCAAAGGAGCCCAGGACGAGCGCTGGAGGGGCACAGGTTTGAATATTCTGCCACTCCCCTTGATTGTGGTGGAGTGGCAACTGGAAGTGGGCGTTGGGGAGTGGCGGTTGTGTTGGCCGTGTTGGTGGCATTGTGTGGTTGGGCAACTTGTAATCATTTGATGAGAAGGTACACTTGGAAACTCTTCAAATGGTCTTCAAAAATTGTATTTAATTCAGGGGAAAAGCAACTTTTTGATTATATTTTAAGTTTGATGCTTTTGGAAATTTTTTTAATATTTATATTCTTTACTATATCGTTTTTCCTAACTGAAATATAATTCAATCATGGCTTATTCAAAGGAACATGTTAATAATAAATTATATCTTCTAAGATGTTATAAACGAATGAGTACAAAAAATAGTTTTAAACTTTGTTTTTTATTTTTATAACTTTTAAAAAGTTTATATTATTTTTCTACCCCAATACAGTTCTTCTGAGTGTATCAGCAGTATGGATGGCTGGCCCTTTTCTCATTACGCAACTGTTTTCTTCCCCTGTCCACTTTCTTGTGGTCTCACATTGGCAACTCGTCACAGAGATATCGTGTCAGAAGTTGCTGTTAGACCTCCGATTCCTAGTGTTCGATAAGGCAAAGGTTGGAGCTGGGCTGTCACTCATTTCCATCCAGCCAATCTGCCGCAGAAGAGTAAACAAAGTCACCCCAACAACCTGTCCCATATCAAAATATTAAATGCTTGCTTGAGCGTGAAATTAAAACATTAATTTCTATATGTATTTAGCAGTGTTATTTTGGCATATTTGATGTAGATGCAAACATTCAGGCTGGTCTTATCGCATTAATGATTCATGAGGATTAACCTTTAAATTTTGAACATAGAACTGTGGATTACCAAGGGCTTAAAGTGATGTATAAATGAAAGTATTTACCTGAATGCCTACAGAATTCCAACACAATAAGTTTTGAAACACTAAACGTCAACTACTTGAGCAGCCACAAAGAAATATTTCCGAGCCATTTCATTCGAGCAATTTCTGGTCTACGAGAGAGTGAAGCGAACCCACACGGGGGAAATATTTTAATTTGTATTTATTTTAATGCTCCAACGCCCTTGTTTTACAACCCACTTCAAAAGGACGTCAGGATGTTTGCCACCCATCCCGTGTCAGCCAGCTGCTCCTGCCGCTGGGAATTCCTTTGAGCTCATGGTCAAATGATTCTCAGATATTCTTTTAATGCTGCACAAGCGACGCCTTGAGCTATGCACTAACTTTCGGCGGTTAACCTGGGACAAAACACCAAGAACCCAAGTAAATAGCCAAAGGACTTTCACACACACACTCACGCGGCCCTAATAAACTTTAATGGGCCTGTTCATAATAATAAAATTTCATTAAATTGCCAGGGAGTAAAGGGGCACAAAAAAAATCCAGTTCTCACAAAAGCATAGGCAAATTTTCGCTGGCTGGCAAATGAAGACGAGTGGTTAAAAAATGTGGTATTCGGGGGAGGATGGGGCATGTGGCATGTGTGAAATTCCCCAAAGAGAGGTAGACTCCTTACCTCCAGTTTTTCGGTTCATCTTTGACCCTTGCATGTGTTGCCGGATGGAAGGCAGAAACAATTCAATTACGTTCCAAAATGGCTGCGCCCATGTACATACATATGTGTGCGAAGGCGAGGTCCTGAGTGTGATGTGTAATAAAGTTTCATTTTATAGACCTGCCAGCACGTCTGGGCAGCTTTTGGTGACGCCACAGCCGCAGTCGCAGCCGCAGCCTCAAAAGCATAACTCGTGCCCCTCAGACTGGGGCCCGGCTTTTCCCCACCGCTTTTCCCCTAGATTTTCCAGCTCCATCTGCAGCTGCAGCTGCATCTGAAAATGTGGCCCGAATTTCACAGAAGAAGAAAATTGAAAGCATTACTGTGGCTCGCTCGTGTTGCTATTGTACTTTTTTGGCCAGCAGCAAATTCTTGTGCCGAAGTTTTGCAATTGTTGTTGCCTTGCAGCTGTCAGAGGAGGCGCACTAAACACTAAATAAAATTTTCTGTTCTCAACTGCGTGAGCACACACACATACGCACGCACATTGGCCGCATGTCCTTGGGCTCTAACACACACACACACACACACACATGTAGTTGTGAAAGGACCCCTACCCGCTGCGCTACTCTGGCATATTGAACGAAGATTTATTGCAGTGCCAGTGTGTCCAAGTGGAAATAAATCAAATAATTTTCCATGTGGAAAAATTTCAAGCACAAAAAATCGAGCTGCAAATTAAAAATAGGACGAAAAAAAGGTGGTCGAAAAAGCAAAACAGAGAGACGAAAAATGAAAAGTCCAACGAAAGTCAAGTGAGGCGCAGGTTCTGGCCCCAAAAATGGACAGGGCTGATTGTGTAATTTACTCATTATACAAGTACACCAACCTTATGTGCATTACGTAAGTGTGTGTGTGCGAGTGCTGCTCATTTCACGTACTGCATATGCATGAAAGGAGGTCCTTCCACTGCCGACCCGCTGTATTTTTATATTAGCACACAGACACCCAAAGGATCCACATCCCCCTTCCCCCTGCCCCCATTGCCACCTAACTGTCATTGTCCAGAAATTAACGAAAATATATACACAAACACACAGGGAGTGCCGAGAGCAAAAATAAAAAGAAACCAAAGGAGAACGGCGAAAGGCGAAAAAGGAATGGAAAGAAAAGTTTTGCATTTCCTCGTGCTAATGTATGTTAATTACAGGGGGATTTTCCATGCGGAGGATTTGCATTTTAATTTATGCACCGAAAAATTTGCGTTTTGCCAGCCACCCCGGCCAAAGTCGTTAAAAGAGGAAAAGCTGGCCAGAAAAAATAGCGAACGCTGAACGGTGAATGGCGGCCCACAAAATAATGGCCAAAATGAGAAGTTACAGTGACGCAATTTGTACACGTCATAGGTGAGAGTGAGTGCATGCATGTGTACGGGCATTGGGGCACTTCATTACCCCGGTGCCAAGTGGACACGCCCCAGCACTGCAGCGGAAATTGCTGGAAATATATTTATTTATAGGCCAAGTACGGATACTTCAACCGCCACCCCAACGAAAGGAGTCTGAAGGCCCGAGCAATTAAGACGACCGCCAGCACCGTGTCCTAATTAGGCCAAGTGCTCAAAAAATTTAAGCAAAATTGAGTAAACGAAGCTTAAACTGAAATTTCGAACTCGGTTTGCACATAAAACAGTTTTTCAGAAATATCTTTTAATACGATTTAATTTCATATATGGCTTAAAAGAAATTTACATAATCAATGATTAACAAAGGCCATTTATATTTATTTATTATTATAAATATGGCATATTTTACATATTTTTATTATTTTATATTATTATTTTATTATTTTGTAGTATTTTATATTTGGCATAAGAGAGATTTACATAATCAATGATTAAGAAAGGCACTTGCTATTAAAACACAT